AGGTGCGATAGTCGGTTTCGACAACTGGGTCTGGAGGTGCGATAGTCGGTTTCGACAACTGGGTCTGGAGGTGCGATAGTCGGTTTCGACAACTGGGTCTGGAGGTGCGATAGTCGGTTTCGACAACTGGGTCTGGAGGTGCGATAGTCGGTTTCGACAACTGGGTCTGGAGGTGCGATAGTCGGTTTCGACAACTGGGTCTGGAGGTGCGATAGTCGGTTTCGACAACTGGGTCTGGAGGTGCGATAGTCGGTTTCGACAACTGGGTCTGGAGGATGTGCGATAGTCGGTTTCGACAACTGGGTCTGGAGGATGTGCAATGGTCGGTTTCGAGACAACTGGGTCTGGAGGATGTGCGATGGTCGGTTGGAAATATGGATAGACAGTGGGTGGGAATGTGTAGGGACGTCAGTAAGACGGACGGATGCACAGTGAACAGCTTAAGCGACCCAAAGAAAGAAGGAGATCAAGGATAAAGACAAAGATAGATTGCAGTTTTATTTTTAAAAAGGACATTTTTCACAAAAGGTCACATGCAGTCCTTGAAACACCAGGCTGACGGTGGCCACGTTAACTAAGGTCAAGAGAAAGTGTTGACACCTGGGCTACAGCTGGGCTTCACGAGATCCCGCCATGTTACCTGTCATGTTGTGTCTCGGGTTTCTGGTGGGTGCCTGTTGTCTTGGGGGGACTGGTTGCATGTCTGCTGGATGTTGGTGCTTGTGTGGTCAACGCTCGATTCTTACTACTGTGTGTTTACAAAATCCTGCAGTTGTATTCTCGATAATGTCACGGTCATGAGTTATCCTGGAAACGTGATTGGGCTCTTTATTGTCTCGACGTTAATGTTTCATACAGAATTAATGTTTAAACTATTCATTTGTATTGGAACAGATGTTTTCTTTGTTCTTTTCATCACTTGTGTCATTTTAGTTAGGTAGCACAACAAATTTTACAGTACTGGCGTGAGTGACCCTAACCCTAACCGTATAAATTAACGTTTTGCCAACTTGTCGTGACTTGGAATCGATCCAGCTGACTCATTTTATGGCGCGTAGCCACATTTTCAGAGCAGCCATTATGGCTTTACTTAGAATTTAGGTAAAACTGAAGAAACATGTGTTTTTGTGAAAGTCGATTGGTTACATTTGAACGTTGTGCTGTATAACTCTTAATGGGCAATCCAACAAGGATCGTCGTATATTGATCTGTCTCAAATAAGCAAAAATGTATTTCAGGTATTTGTAAAAAGGGAGACAAAATGTTATGTAACGTTGGGAATGAAATGAATGTTAATATTTAATTTTATCTATTTATATTCCACTACTATTTTCTAAACAGACTATCGCCACACAGCCCCTAGTGCTAGCGGCTCTTTGTCTCTCTTTAACGGTTTCTCTATGTGTGTCTCTCTCTGGTCTTCTGTCTGATGCCCCTTCTTCTATCCGCAATCTTCCACTTTGCGTACGCGTCCCACAGTCACACATTTCATCTCATTAAAATGTAAATACACAAGTCACATGATGCAGTTCCGTGTCTGCCTGCTCCTAGCTATGTGTTGCCTCTGTCTCTAGCCCTGCTGTATCAGTGCAAGTCACAGTTCTTTTCTTTTATTTCCCCATAGATGTGACATCGTGAGAACCAGTGCTACATACATACACTCCCCATATATGTAACATCGTGAGAACCACTGCTACATACATACACTCCCCATAGATCTAACATCGTGAGAACCACTGCTACATACATACACTCCCCATAGATGTGACATCGTGAGAACCACTGCTACATACATACACTCCCCATAGATATAACATCGCGAGAACCACTGCTACATACATACACTACCCATAGATGTGACATCGTGAGAACCAGTGCTACATACATACACTCCCCATAGATATGACATCGCGAGAACCACTGCTACACACATACACTCCCCATAGATGTGACATCATGAGAACCACTGCTACATACATACACTCCCCATAGACGTGATATCGTGAGAACCACTGCTACATACATACATTCCCATAGATGTGACATCGTGAGAACCACTGCTACATACATACACTCCCCATAGATGTGACATCGTGAGAACTACTGCTACATACATACAGTCCCCATAGATGTGACATCGGGAGAACCACTGCTACATACATACACTCCCATAGATGTGACATCGGGAGAACCACTGCTACATACATACACTCCCCATAGATATAACATCGCGAGAACCACTGCTACATACATACACTCCCCATAGATGTGATATCGTGAGAACCTCTGCTACATAAATACACTCCCCATAGATGTGACATCGGGAGAACCACTGCTACATACATACACTCCCTATAGATGTGACATCGCGAGAACCACTGCTAGATACATACACTCACATAGATGTGACATCGCGAGAACCACTGCTACATACATACACTCCCATAGATGTGACATCGTGAGAACCACTGCTACATACATACACTCCCCATAGATGTGACATCGCGAGAACCACTGCTACATAATACACTCCCATAGATGTGACATCGTGAGAACCACTGCTACATACATACACTCCCCATAGATGTGACATCGGGAGAACCACTGCTACATACATACACTCCCATAGATGTGACATCGTGAGAACCTCTGCTACATAAATACACTCCCCATAGATGTGACATCGGGAGAACCACTGCTACATACATACACTCCCCATAGATGTGACATCGTGAGAACCACTGCTACATACATACATACACTCCCCATAGATGTGACACCCGGAGAACCACTGATACATACATACACTCCCCATATATGTGACACCCGGAGAACCACTGCTACATACATACACTCCCCATAGATGTGACATCGTGAGAACCACTGCTACATACATACACTCACCATATATGTGACATCGTGAGAACCACTGCTACATACATACACTCCCCATAGATGTAACATCGTGAGAACCACTGCTACATACATACACTCCCCATAGATATGATATCGTGAGAACCACTGCTACATACATACACTCCCCATAGATGTGACATCGTGAGAACCACTGCTACATACATACACTCCCCATAGATGTGACACCCGGAGAACCACTGCTACATACATACACTCCCCATAGACGTGATATCGTGAGAACCACTGCTACATACATACACTCCCCATAGATGTGATATCGTGAGAACCACTGCTACATACATACACTCCCCATAGATGTGATATCGTGAGAACCACTGCTACATACATACACTCCCCATAGATGTGATATCGTGAGAACCACTGCTACATACATACACTCCCCATAGATGTAACATCGTGAGAACCACTGCTACATACATACACTCCCATAGATGTAACATCGTGAGAACCACTGCTACATACATACACTCCCCATAGATGTGATATCGTGAGAACCACTGCTACATACATACACTCCCCATAGATGTGATATCGTGAGAACCACTGCTACATACATACACTCCCCATAGATGTGATATCGTGAGAGCCACTGCTACATACATACACTCCCCATAGATGTAACATCGTGAGAACCACTGCTACATACATACACTCCCCATAGATGTGACATCGTGAGAACCACTGCTACATACATACACTCCCCATAGATGTAACGTCGTGAAGTGTATCGTTGTAAAGCCACGAGTTCGCTGGTCGCTATCACAGAATGACAGGCCTGTTTGCCTACATTCCCTCCCCTCCTCCGTGTGGTCTATTTTCAGATGTTGTATCGGATAGCCAGACAAGCTAGAAGATTTTTGAAACCAAGAACAAACACAACCGTGTGGGTCTATCGCTTCGAGCGGTGTGGAGAATACCTGTCTGTCCGGACAGAATCCGCGCGATCCAGGAGAGCCATGAGGCACGACCCGGGTGGGGGGATCACTGACAAGCGTTGTTAATCAGCGCTAGACTCCACACAAGCCCTCCCTTGCAGCAGCATAATTGCGCCAGTGTTTTCCCCAAACAGGATTAACCGTTTTCTTGTATGTTTATATTTCAGCATCTGCCTGTGGATTATCATTTGGCCGTCTCCAGTCTTCAGGTCGCCCAGTCTGCCGGCAAGTGTCCAAGGAACACAGAACAGTCATCACTTTTTACTTCACTGTGTAACCGTTCAGGACGTGATCAGAATCACTAGTGACATTCTAAAGAACGCTGTAGTTTGTGAAATCTGCGCCCCACGACTGGTGAAGAATCCCACCGCCAACACGGATATTTCAGCCGGTCAAGTATTTCAGATTATAATTGCTAATTTTGGTCAGCCGTCTGTCGCCTCAGGGCACCTCTAAGTGGTCAGTAAACAAAACATAGCCAGCAATCGCCAGGTTTGGACACTGAAACTCCAGTGTTGAGTAATCTACCTTAGTTCAAGTCATAAATTTGCCGATCCAGCACTTTCTGAAGTCGGGCCCGACCTGTGGCGCTGTATGTAAGGCGTACACGTGACCAACCGGGTGTGTCTGGAACTTCGTGTGTGGTTTCACTACCGGAAAGATATTCAACAAATATTTCCTATTCATGTGTAGCGAGTGTCCTCGACACGGCTGGACGAGCTTAACTGACAAGATACTGCTGGGCCGTGTAGCAGCCAACACGTGTACACCACACAGTCACCTACACTACAGTACCGGTTAGTCACCTGTGGTTTCGCCAACAGCTCAGGTAACAGCAAGTCTGTACTTCATCCAGAAGCCGCGGTGACGACATAAGCTCCAGGTTGTTCTCTGACCGAGTCTCTCGTGTGGTGCTGGTTCTGTTCATCGTCTGACCACATTGTTTTGCCTGGGAACTGGCTCATTAATCATCCAGCGGCCTTGTGTTCCATCACGGAAACCTCATTCCTTTAGGATTATCCTCCGGTCCAATGTGTGCTGTGGCAAAAGCCTGAAGACATCTGCTACATTAAAGTTCGGCAACTCTGTATGGTCTGCGTGTTTTGATCAGTGTTCTCCCCGTCAGCCATGGAGGTCAGCTTGTTGGTCAGGCTGCTAGCGTCCATGCTTGTGCTGCAGTGTGTGGTCAGCGGTCAGTCTGACAGTGACGTCAACGCTAAGTGGGGAGTGGCCGACAGTACTGCTACCGTGGGACAATTATTCCGCTTACATATACCTGGGGACGCTTTTAGTGGCATCGTGCTGTCACACACAGTGAGTAGTCTCTGTTGTTATAGTTGTTGCCACAGTGTGTAGTCTCTGTTGTTATAGTTGTGTCTGGTTGCCACAACGAGTAGTCTCTGTTGTTATAGTTGTGTCTGGTTGCCACAGCGAGTAGTCTATGTTGTTATAGTTGTGTCTGGTTGCCACAGTGAGTAGACTCTGTTGTTATAGTTGTTGCCACAGTGAGTAGTCTCTGTTGTTATAGTTGTTGCCATAGTGAGTAGTCTCTGTTGTTATAGTTGTTGCCGCAGTGAGTAGTCTCTGTTGTTATAGTTGTTGCCACAGTGAGTAGTCTGTGTTGTGTCTGGTTGCGACATTGAGTAGTCTCTGTTGTTATAGTTGTGTCTTGTTGCCACAGTGAGTAGTCTCTGTTGTTATAGTTGTTGCCACAGTGAGTAGTCTCTGTTGTTATAGTTGTTGCCACAGTGAGTAGTCTCTGTTGTTATAGTTGTGTCTGGTTGCCACAGTGAGTAGACTCTGTTGTTATAGTTGTGCCTGGTTGCCACAGTGAGTAGTCTCTGTTGTTATAGTTGTATCTGGTTGCCACAGTGAGTAGTCTCTGTTGTTATAGTTGTGTCTGGTTGCCACAGTGAGTAGTCTCTGTTGTTATAGTTGTAACTGGTTGCCACAGTGAGTAGTCTCTGTTGTTATATTTGAATCTGGTTGCCACAGTGAGTAGACTGTTGTTATAGTTGTATCAGGTTGCCAAAGTGAGTGGTCTCTGTTGTTATAGTTGTATCTGGTTGCCAAAGTGAGTAGTCTCTGTTGTTATAGTTGTGTCAGGTTGTCACAGTGAGTAGTCTCTGTTGTTATAGTTGTTGCCACAGTGAGTAGTCTCGGTTGTTATAGTTGTATCTGGTTGCCATAGTTAGTATCTCTTTTGTTATAGTTGTGTCTGGTTGCCACGGTGAGTAGTCTCTGTTGTTATAGTTTTATCTGGTTGCCACAGTGAGAAGTCTCTGTTGTCATAGTTGTATCTGGTGGCCACAGTGAGTAGACTCTGCTGTTATAGTTGTCGCCACAGTTGTTATAGTTGTGTCTGGTTGCCACAGTGAGTAGACTGTTGTTATAGTTGGGTCTGGTTGCCACAATGAGTAGTCTCTGTTGTTATAGTTGTTGCCACAGTGAGTGGTCTCTGTTGTCATATTTGTGTCTTGTTGCCACAGTGAGTAGTCTCTGTTGTTATAGTTGTTACCACAGTGAGTAGTCTCTGTTGTTATAGTTGTTGCCACAGTGAGTAGTCTCTGTTGTTATAGTTGTGTCTGGTTGCCACAGTGAGTAGACCTGTTGTTATAGTTGTGCCTGGTTGCCACAGCGAGTATCTCTGTTGTTATAGTTGTATCTGGTTGCCACAGTGAGTATCTCTGTTGTTATAGTTGTGTCTGGTTGCCACAGTGAGTAGTCTCTGTTGTTATAGTTGTGTCTGGTTGCCACAGTGAGTAGTCTCTGTTGTTATAGTTGTGTCTGGTTGCCATTGTGTTAGTAGTCGTAATTGCGTCTGTTGTTGTATTTGTGTCTGTTGTTGTCGCTGTGTCTGTTGCTGTAGTTGTCTGTTATTGTCACTGTTTCTGTTGTAGTTGTGTCTGTTGTTGTAGTTGTATTTGTTGAAATGGTATCTGTTGTTGTAGTTGTGTCTGTTGTTATGTTGGTTGTTGTAGTTGTGTTTGTTGTTATAGTAGTGACTCTGTTGTTGTCAAATTAGTTTTTATAGTTGTCTGTCGTTGACCTGTTTGTTGTTGTAGTTTTTTCTGTTGTTGCCATTGTGGTAGTTGATATAGTTATGTAATGCCACACTGTGTTGCCATCAACATTTAAGCAGTGCACAGATGCTAACGGGAAGACATGCAGAGCTGATATTATCAACGCTGTACGGACTTAGTTGAGAGATAATGGCAAAACTCTGACGCTAACACGACAGCGTGACCTAGGAGTTAAGCTGGGTGACGCACGTCTGTGTCGTCTTCGTGGTAAAGATAGGAAACACTAAACCCAGATCCTCATGGGAGCAGTCAGTAGAGGTAGCTTGGAGTGGCTGCTGCAACGGGGGACTGATCACGCAAGGGCATGCCTAGTGTACAGAGACGTCCATTGTAATAACAAAGTAGGCATTTGTTATGTTTTAGGGTACATATCGTTAATCAAATCTCCCTACACCTCGCATGGTTCTCTGAATGAGGTAACTTAGAACAATCAATGCTAGCACGGAGCAATAATTTTTATAAACATCTTCCGTGTTGGCGGGGAGCACATACTCTGTGTGTTTGTTTGTCGGAAACAATGGTTACCCACCTGCCGTGTCGTGGCGGCGGTTCCCGCGCGAAGGTTAGAGGGACCGTTTTTAAACAATCCGGGGTCAGCCAGCTGCCTGTTTTGTGACCTCACCAGGGGGCAGCATCATACGTAACTCGGTTACCGTGGTAACCAGTCGCTGTCTTCAACTGGACAAACATTGAAGGTGGCCCAGCCCGTGTCTCGTTGTTCGGCTGGAAGGGATGGGACATCCGAAGGCGGTCTCCCACGCCTACAGACAGGATATCCCGTCTCTTGGGTTAATGCGTCGTTCAGTTGATGGATGCAGTTTGACGGAGATTCACGGAGACCCGTGCTGTGTGGGACGCTTTCGGCAGGAGGCTAGAACTTCCACAGAGATAATCTTCCATCTTCTGACTCTTGGCGTTCACCGGCTGTAAACTGCAGCGAAAAGTTTCTCCACGTCGGGACGTTAGTTTTGTTCCAGAACCGCAGTGTTGCGTGCACATCCGTTTCACTGTTCTTGCTTTTGTGTACGCAGACCCTTGTTTCCTTCCTCCTTTGGCAGATGTCATTCGACATTGAAGGATGCCCTTAATTAGTCGACTCCTACGACCTGCTTGGTGGTGAGGCCGTGGGTCTGGTCCTGAGTCCCTGGAACTGACACAGGAAGGAGATAGGCTAAGGCATATGGAATGAATCCCGCTACGGTGATGTTCTGTCCTCTCCACTTTCAGCTTCACATTACCTGGATATTCCAACACCCCCCCCCCTTTTCCCCTGTCTAAGTGTGACCAGTAGACGACGGGGGTAGTTTGCTCCCATATATCTCTACCTGCTGTGAAAGACTGAGCTGTTATGAACTTATCCGTAGGGCCGTGGCGTGGCTTCCGCTGTTTCCCGCTGCCAGTTTGAGAAGCACTGAGATGCGCCGCGCCCATCCCTGGAGATGTGCGTCACGTTTCCCGCGTCCGTGAGCCCGCGTCCATTCTCCAGTTATAAATATAGACATATATTAGCTTATGTTAGCGCATTGTTCGTGCAGCATCCTTGGCTCTAGCAGCCGTATGTGTCTGCTGTGAGAGAGAGAGAGAGAGAGAGAGAGAGAGAGAGAGAGAGAGAGGGAGCATTATAATCAGCAACCTCTGAGCCTATGCCACTCTACCCTGGGCGGCAGCAGATACGCAGTCACTCGAAGAAAGTCACGCCCCTGAGGTCCCCCAATGGAATGCGCTGTAGTTACACAGGCGGCGTTCAGTCGGAGAATCTCCTTGACCAGATTGAGTCATGGCTGCACCTCCCAGGCAGCCTGAAGCCAATGTTTGTGTTTAACTACAAGTAGACCGGCTAGGAAATACATGACACTGATTTAATGGAGAAGTTGGGTCTTGTGCACACGTGGACTCTGAGTCCACAAGGGACTGTGATAAACATTCTGTGTGATTTTCGTTGGCACAGAGCGGAGCAAAGATGGGGTGACCCGTTTGCTATGAAGCTGAAACTAAGACTACCAGACTGCGTCCTGTCTGTGAGGTAATCCCAGGTCCTGTCTGTGAGGTCATCCCAGGTCCTGTCTGTGAGGTCATCCCAGGTCCTGTCTGTGAGGTCATCCCAGGTCCTGTCTGTGAGGTCATCCCAGGTCCTATCTGTGAGGTCATCCCAGGTCCTATCTGTGAGGTCATCCCAGGTCCTGTCTGTGAGGTCATCCCAGGTCCTGTCTGTGAGGTCATCCCAGGTCCTGTCTGTGAGGTCATCCCAGGTCCTATCTGTGAGGTCATCCCAGGTCCTATCTGTGAGGTCATCCCAGGTCCTGTCTGTGAGGTCATCCCAGGTCCTGTCTGTGAGGTCATCCCAGGTCCTGTCTGTGAGGTCATCCCAGGTCCTGTCTGTGAGCTCATCCCAGGTCCTGTCTGTGAGCTCATCCCAGGTCCTGTCTGTGAGCTCATCCCAGGTCCTGTCTGTGAGCTTATCCCAGCTCCTGTCCATGAGGTCATCCCAGCTCCTGTTTGTGAGCTCATCCCAGATCCTGTTTGTGAGCTCATCCCAGGTCCTGTTTGTGAGCTCATCCCAGGTCCTGTCTGTGAGGTCATCCCAGGACCTTTCAGTGAGCTCATCCCAGATCCTGTTTGTGAGCTCATCCCAGGCTCTGTCTGTGAGCTCATCCAAGGTACTGTCTGTGAGGTCATCCCAGGTCCTGTCTGTGAGGTCATCCCAGGTCCTGTCTGTGAGTACATAATCACAACTACATGTCAGTATGCAAGGTCGCACAATCATAGTGCAAGATCGCACAATCATAGCTACGTTTTGCAATATCAGATTACCCAGTCATTACAAGATTGCACACAATCCCAGCTACATGTCATCATATAGCTGTGCGCACAATCCAGTCTACATGTGGTCATTACAAGATTGCACACAATCCCACATACATGTCATCACACAAGATTGCACACAATCATAGCTACATGTTATAATATATGATTGCAAACAGTCACAGCTATGCTTCATAGCAGCATATGAAAGAATGATTTTGTGTACTAAAACACATAGAAGTAGGTGTTTGAGGTTTTCCATTTGTCTGATGTTCCAGAGTTCATATACATATCTTCATTTGTTTCACGTCTCGCAGATCATCTGTTTGTAGCTCCACTTACGTATACTGTCTCGTGTAGCTCCACTTACGTACACTGTCTCGCGTAGCTCCACTTACGTACACTATCTCGTGTAGCTCCACTTACGTACACTGTCTCGTGTAGCTCCACTTACGTACACTGTCTCGTGTAGCTCCACTTACGTACACTGTCTCGTGTAGCTCCACTTACGTACACTGTCTCGTGTAGCTCCACTTACGTACACTGTCTCGTGTAGCTCCACTTACGTACACTGTCTCGTGTAGCTCCACTTACGTACACTGTCTCGTGTAGCTCCACTTACGTACACTGTCTCACAGACTAACCATCCATAATTCAACTATTGTCTCATGGATCATAAGTATAGCAATTCTCATTTGTGTCATTTCTAATTTTGTAGGTAACTCGTTCAGATGGCACACCTCTTCCAAGCTGGTTGGAGTTTGATACCAAAGAAGCTTTGCTCCAGGGAATACCAACACCTGCAGATGCTGGTCAGCTGTACCTGGAGGTGACAGCTAAAGGTGCAGACAGTAAGGCTTCTGTCACCACCACAGTATTTGTCCGGGATGTGCCATCCCACACTTCTGGGTCTCCACTGAGGTTTAAGACATCAGGGCCAGAATTTGTCTGGTGTAAGCAGACAGAGCCAGAAACTGTAGCCACACTGATTGTAGATGCAGATTTGGAAATTCTTCCTGCATCTCAGCGATTGGACTTGCTGCAGAAATTTCTGTCACACATGAGTCTCCATGAGGGCATGATCAAAATGGTTCCTGTGGGAGACTCTCCCTTACATGACAGTTCAGCTCTGGTTTCTGGTAATGGAGATGGCTTGGCTCCTAAAACTTCTGGACTGTTCATCTCATGGCCGGTTGGTTGTGGTCAAGTCAAGGAGAGCCATTTCTCAGTCTTGCACAAGCTTGATGATGACTCCAGCAGTGGCAAAATGGCCGCAGTCCTCGGACACTCAGTCATCGGCTGGCATGTCACAAACAGCCATTTTCAAGTAACCCCAAGAAAAAGGAGACAGGTGCAAGCCACGCCTACTCCAGCCCTGTCGCCAGTCATGCCAACAAAAACCAAGACCGAAGCAACCAGCGACAGGATGACTCACACATTGATTGACGTTCAGTCTCCGTCTTTCATCCAGCCCACAGCCACTCAGCCACCCGTCACCAAAACGGATGAACCCATAGTTCCTCCACCAGTTCCAGCAGGGGAGACCTCAGCCAAGCTGATGCCCACAGAAACCACACCAGCTGTGACCACAACTAGGGAGACACCACCGATCATCCCAACCAAGACCCGGGAACCTGGTGTACCCACTGATGTTCCCCCAGTTGTGAGTGTGGATTGTGAGCTGGGACAGAAGCCAAAGGTTAAGAGTCCACCCGTGAAGCTGATGTACCATGTTGGAGATGTCATTGACTATGTGGTTCCAGAGGACACCTTTGAAGACTGTGAAGTGGGTGGGACACGGGGATTGGAACTGGTCTTGTACCCAGACACAGGTAAGGATGATCTTCCAGAATTCTTGCACTTTGATTCCAAGCAGCAGAAGCTGGTGGGTCTGCCCATGGAGGCTGATGTGAAAGTGCACAAGTTTCAATTGGAGGCCAAGAAAACAGAGAGTTTGTTTGTCCGTGTGGAGCTGACTCTGATAGTCAGGGATTTCCGGATGAAGAAGAAGATCAACCATGAGCTCTCCGTGACCATTGATTACGATTACAAGGAGTTTATGGGCAATGTGTCGGAAAGAGTGCACCTGGCTAACCGAATTGCTAGTGTTTACGGTGAGCCTGACACCAAACGTATGGTAGTCACCAACATTGGCCAGGGCTCGGTCATCTATCAGTGGACTAACACCAGTCTGGCATCATCTGATTGTCCTGTTGATGATGTCCGAGTTCTGGTCAGACAACTTGTCAATGAAGATGGCAGTTTAACTGATCATGCAATCATGAAATTGAAACCTTTTGTGTTGTTGAGTGCACAGTCACAACCAGCTGGTGCTTGTTTAGGAAAAGAGATGTTTCCTGAGGTTGTTGGCCAACCAAAAGAAGCAGGGACTATTCCAGAGATGACCACAAGTGAGGCTGCTGCTAAGGGAGCAGCAGGAACCGGTGATGAAGATGATGTGTGGATAACGACAGTGGTTCCTGCTGTAGTCATTGTTGTTATCCTGTTCATTGCTCTGCTTGTTGCCTGCATTCTCTATCGCAAAAAACGCAAGGGGAAGATGAATGTAGAAGAGCAGAATACATTCATCAATAAAGGTGCTCCAGTTATATTTCCCTACGAACTGGAAGAAAAACCAAGTGATGTCAACAAACCACTTCTAGTGGAAGGAACTCAAGCCCCTCCGCCAGAGTACCAGCGGGCATCTAGCGAGAGTCCAGAACGGCCACTAGCTGGCAACTACAGGAATTTGACGGCCACTTCCGCGGTCGATGACAGCATTACTGAAATACCAGAACAGCCCTACGAACCACCTCCCCCTGTCACTGCTTCCACCAATGGTAAACAAACACGGCCCTCTCACCAACAACAACAGCAGCCCTTCACACAGCCACCTCAGATTTTGCCATAGCACAGAAACGGGTGTTGGTCTTGATACTGGACTTGTTGGCCAGCGGTCAGACAGCTCCCAGCATTGGCTGAGTTTGTTTTCTGTGGTCAGCTTGACCATGTGTTTGCTTGTTCCCAGACTTTCGTGTCCTGTTTTACCAAAAATGCTGGTGGACCCTGCGGATCTGGAAGCTTCCTAGTTATGTTGCCTTTATGGAATTAGTTAAGCATTGTTTGCTGATCATCATGTGTTAGGTAGCACCTGCTTTCTCCACATCCACATGCAGACTGAGATGTCCAAGAGTGGTGCCTAACTGCTGTGATTGTCTGTTTACGAAAGTCAACATTCTTGTGCCATTCTGTGAATCTTTTCTTTGACAGAAAACTACATTGTTTATGACTGATGAAAGATTGACATTACAGCACTGAGTTATACCTGTAGGGATTTCAACTCTTCTAGCCTGTGTTCAAAGTATATAGGAACTGATTGGTTACTGTAGCCTAGTGGCTGTAAACATGTGGGGTTTGCTGCAGATGTATCCCTCCGTGCTGCAGACATGTCTCTCCATGCTGCAGACGTGTCTCTCCATGCTGCAGACGTGTCTCTCCATGCTGCAGACGTTTCTCTCCGTGCTACACTAACACATCAATTCTCTTTTGGAATCCTTCAGTCTGTTTCATCTTGAAAAATAGAAGTCCATAAATTGCAGTCAAAATATCTTTCTTGTCCATGGTGGTTGTCCCTCTGGCTGACTTCTGGACATTCATCAGCTGTAAACTACTGTGGAAAGTTCTGGTTCTCAGGACCTGCTTGCCATCTCAGACTGCAGAATTATGTTGATGGAATGGTTCTCCACAATCTGGGAGTTTCTCTCAGTGTTTCATTGCGGGATGGGATTTAGCCTGTCAAAGTATGTGTGTGTGCCTCGGTGCATGAATGTGTGTGTGCCTCGGTGCATGAATGTGTATGTGTTTGTTGCATCCATGTAGACAAGTCTGTAGTAGCAGCCATGTTCTTTGTGTGAGCAATTGGGAAAAAGGATGGTTTATGGCATAGACATACAAAGTGTGGTTTGTGTATTGATGCCACATGTAGGGTAGTTTACTGTCTCCTTTTGTGCTGCAGCCTGGACATATGTGGCCTCAGATGCTGTCTGTGTTGTGCACTCTAAAACAGCTTTATTATTATTATGTTCTGGTGTCAGTTGCAAGTCATGCTGTGTTGCCAGTTAAGACATGTTGTAAGTCATGCAGTGGTACAAGTCACATACTTATAAGGGAGTTGCAACAACGGCCAGCCAGCCATGTTTTGTCTTGTAAGGTTTCTATAATAGCTTCACGTTTGAGATTATTATTTATTGACGTTTTTATTCACTGATGTTTTATTTAAGTCCATCCACATCCATATTTTAACACATGCCCATTTACTTCTATGATTTAATATATATCTGTGTGTATCTATGTTTGATTGTATGTGGAAGTGTATCCAGGTATTATTGACTATCCATTTGTTTCCATGTTTTATTGTGTGTTCATGTGTATCCCTGTTTTGTAGTATGTCGATGTTATGTTTTCATGTGTAGCCAGTGTTTATAGCAATTCCTCAAAAGGCAGTTTCTACCAACCTCACCATGCATCTCCGTAGATTATTTATTTATCTCACAGTTAGCCTATGATCAGTCTTGTGTGAACTGTGTTTTTGTTTAGTCTTCCTGTCTTCCATTTGTCTTGTCATCCATGTTGTAGTGTTGTCAGCTGTTATCTGATGTATGGATGACAACACTGGCTTCAGCTGTTATCTGATGTGTGGATGACATTGGCTTCAGCTGTTATCTGATGTGTGGATGACATTGGCTTCAGCTGTTATCTGATGTGTGGATGACATTGGCTTCAGCTGTTATCTGATGTGTGGATGACAACACTGGCTTCAGCTGTTATCTGATGTGTGGATGACAACACTGGCTTTAGCTGTTATCCAATGTATGGATGACAACATTGGCTTCAGCTGTTATCCAATGTATGGATGACAACATTGGCTTCAGCTGTTATCCAATTTATGGATGACAACATTGGCTTCAGCTGTTATCTGATGTATGGATGACAACACTGGCTTTAGCTGTTATCTGATGTGTGGATGACAACACTGGCTTTAGCTGTTATCTGATGTATGGATGACAACACTGGCTTCAGCTGTTATCTGATGTATGGATGACAACACTGGCTTTAGCTGTTATCTGATGTATGGATGACAACACTGGCTTTAGATGTTATCTGATGTGTGGATGACAACACTGGCTTTAGATGTTATCTGATATATGGATGACAACACTGGCTTTAGATGTTATCTGATGTGTGGATGACAACACTGGCTTTAGCTATTATCCAATGTATGGATGACAACATTGGCTTCAGCTGTTATCTGATGCATGATTCAGACATCATGTTCCTGGATGTTTGAGACATCCTGTGCCTGCAAGATTAGAGCAGGAGAATGAACCTGTGTGACTAGGTATGATGGGCTCGTGATAATCTGAGCCACCAGGAATCAGCATCCATAGAGGAGAGCATAATCAGCATCCATAGAGCAGAACATAATCAGCATCCATAGAGCAGAGCATAATCAGCATCCATAGAGCAGAACATAATCAGCATCCATAGAGCAGAACATAATCAACATCCACAGACCAGAACATAATCAGCATCCACAGAGCAGAACATAATCAGCATCCACAGAGCAGAACAAAATCAGCATCCACAGAGGAGAACATAGTCAGCATCCACAGAGCAGAACATAATCAGCATCCACAGAGGAGATCATAATCAGCATCCACAGAGCAGAAAATAATCAGCATCCACAGAGCAGAACATAATGAGCATCCACAGAGGAGAACATAATCAGCATCCACAGAGGAGAGCATAATCAGCATCCACAGAGGAGTGCATAATCAGCATCCACAGAGGAGTGCATAATCAGCATCCACAGAGGAGAGCATAATCAACATCCACAGAGGAGAACATAATCAGCATCGACAGAGGAGAGCATAATCAGCATCCACAGAGCAGAACATAATCAGCATCCACAGAGGAGAGCATAATCAGCATCCACAGAGGAGAGCATAATCAGCATCCACAGAGCAGAACATAATCAACATCCACAGAGGAGAACATAATCAGCATCCACAGAGTAGAACATAATCAGCATCCACAGAGGAGAGCATAATCAGCATCCACAGAGGAGAGCATAATCAGCATCCACAGAGGAGAACATAACCAGCATCCACAGAGGAGAGCATAATCAGCATCCACAGAGGAGAGCATAATCAGCATCCACAGAGCAGAACATAATCAGCATCCACAGAGGAGAGCATAATCAGCATCCACAGAGCAGAACATAATCAACATCCACAGAGGAGAGCATAATCAGCATCCACAGAGGAGAGCATAATCAGCATCCACAGAGCAGAACATAATCAGCATCCACAGAGGAGAGCATAATCAGCATCCACAGAGGAGAGCATAATCAGCATCCACAGAGCAGAACATAGTCAACATCCACAGAGGAGAGCATAATCAGCATCCACAGAGGAGAACATAATCAGCATCCACAGAGTAGAACATAATCAGCATCCACAGAGGAGAGCATAATCAGCATCCACAGAGGAGAGCATAATTAGCATCCACAGAGGAGAACATAATCAGCATCCACAGAGTAGAATATAATCAGCATCCACAGAGGAGAGCATAATCAGCATCCACAGAGGAGAGCATAATCAGCATCCACAGAGGAGAACATAACCAGCATCCACAGAGGAGAACATAATAAGGTCACTTGGCATGGAATTGTTTCATTCCTATTTTCAGCTTTGGTCAGCTAGATTGGTCAGTTGTAGTTGGTGGCCATCATGTCTGATTTGACCATATATTTGTGATTCAGCTGTGTTTATGTTATGTAACCTAATGTCAAAGTTTCCTGTCAATAGCTGCACTCTACATTAATTTCTTAGCCCGTATTGGTTTGTCTTTCATGCTATCACATTTACTCTTAACACCAGAAGTTGAGGAAGGTAGCCTTCGGGCAGAGATTCAAGCATATCCTTCTTCTCCTCCAAAATTCTGGGTAGTTAGCATCCTTTGGATATTTTCTGCAGGGCATCCAAGTGTGTTAAAAATGTGAACAGTCAGAGAGACTGGCAGGTTCTGCACAACTTGGTGGTAAATTGATGCATGACAAGTTGGAGTTGTGGCTGTCAGCCTTTCTAATGGGAGGATCCTTGAATACAGTTGCTCATGTTGTGGGGACCCCCAAACATACAGTTGCTTATGTTGTGGCGACCCTTTACTACAGTTGCTCATGTTGTGGTGACCCCCAAACATACAGTTGCTCATGTTGTGGTGACCCCCAAACATACAGTTGCTCATGTTGTGGTGACCCCCAAACATACAGTTATTCTCCTAGCTACTTTATAACTTCAACTTCAATTAATTTGTGTTTTGCGATGGTCTTGGGCTACCCCTGTGACAGGGTTGTTTGACCAGAAAAAAGGGTCACGACACACAGGATGAGCACCGCCGAGCTAGAGATTGTCAAGACCCCCTGGGAGTGAATGACAAGTTGAGTTACAAGTGCTCAATTAATTGACCAGTAGAGAGGTACAAGTGCTCAATTGATTGACCAGTAGAGAGGTACAAGTGCTCAATTGATTGACCAGTAGAGGTACAAGTGCTCAATTGATTGACCAGTAGAGAGGTACAGGTGCTCAATTGATTGACTAGGAGAGAGGTACAGGTGCTCAATTGATTGACCAGTAGAGGTACAAGTGCTCAATTGATTGACCAGTAGAGGTACAGGTGCTCAATTGATTGACCAGTAGAGAGGTACAAGTGCTCAATTGATTGACCAGTAGAGAGGTACAAGTGCTCAATTGATTGACCAGTAGAGGTACAAGTGCTCAATTGATTGACCAGTAGAGGTACAAGTGCTCAATTGATTGACCAGTAGAGGTACAAGTGCTCAATTGATTG